AGAGAGAGGCGGCCGCTCAGGTGACACTCACCCTTCTGCTGTTTGAACCCAAGGCCACTGCTCCCATCCCTATCTCCAAGGCTACATGCGGATCCAGCAGTTTCGGAAGGCGGATGGTTCCTATGCGGCTTGGTTGTCACGGGACAGCAGCACCTGGTGAGGTTGGGGGAGGGGTTCCAGGGCTCTGAGGGGGTCAGGGCCTGGGCAGGGGTGGGACAGAGCTGGTACAATGGGAGGGGGGAATAACCAGGCACCTGGGGCGTGGGCGTAGCCATAAGCAAGTCCTTACCCCCAACCCTCCTTCCTCTCCTCCAGGCTCACAGCCTTTGTGCTGAAGGTCCTGAGTTTGGCCCAGGAGCAGGTAGGAGGCTCGCCTGAGAAACTGCAGGAGACGTCTAAGTGGCTTCTGTCCCAGCAACAGGCTGATGGCTCGTTCCAGGACCCCTGTCCAGTGTTAGACAGGAACATGCAGGTGCGGGCCTGCTGGGGTGGCCCGAGGGGCACCTGTAGGAGGAGTCTCTTTGCCTCTTCCCCCTCCTGTTTGACATCTTCTTTTCTCCCCTCACTAGGGGGGGTTGGTGGGCAGTGATGAGACTGTGGCACTCACAGCCTTTGTGACCATCGCTCTTCATCATGGGCTGGCCGTCTTCCAGGACGAGGGTGCAGAGGAATTGAAGCAGAGAGTGGTAAGGACAGTGGCGTTTCTGCCCTCCGCTGGCCCCCAGTTCTCCCCCTTTTTCTGCAGGAATCCAGGAGTCCAGGCCCCAGATTTTCATCCTATTTTCTTCTAGGAAGCCTCCATCTCAAAGGCAAACTCATTTTTGGGGGAGAAAGCGAGTGCTGGGCTCCTGGGTGCCCACGCAGCTGCCATCACGGCCTATGCCCTGACACTGACCAAGGCCCCCGGGGACCTGCAGGGTGTTGCCCACAACAACCTCATGGCAATGGCCCAGGAGACTGGAGGTGAGGGACGAGGGGCTCCTGGCAGTGAATCTGAGGCCCAGGGGACCATAGGATCCCTGAGTGTGGCCAGAGGGAGAGGCTGGATGAAGACTCAGAGGACGAATGAAGGTGTAAGCAGGGTGTATTGGGGGAGAATCAGGAGAACCTAGCAGGGAGTGACTAAGGGCCAAGGGACGAAACTCTTCTCCCTGCCCTCCTGTTTACTTGCGGTTTCCCTTCACTTCCAGATAACCTGTATTGGGGCTCAGTCACTAGTTCTCAGAGCAATGCCGTGTCGCCTACGCCGGCTCCTCGCAACCCAGCCGACCCCATGCCCCAGGCCCCAGCCCTGTGGATTGAAACCACAGCCTACGCCCTGCTGCACCTCCTGCTTCACGAGGGCAAAGCGGAGATGGCAGACCAGACTGCAGCCTGGCTCACCCGTCAGGGCAGCTTCCAAGGGGGATTCCGCAGTACCCAAGTAGGGGCCGCCCCCGGGCTCTGGGGGTGGGTAGTCCTGAGAACAAGCGCTTGAGTCCTGACCCAACCTCCCTAGGACACGGTGATTGCCCTGGATGCCCTGTCTGCCTACTGGATTGCCTCCCACACCACCGAGGAGAGGGGACTCAATGTGACTCTCAGCTCCACAGGCCGCAGTGGGTTCAGGTCCCACGCGCTACAGCTGAACAACCGCCAGATTCGCGGCCTGGAGGAGGAGCTGCAGGTGAACCACTCCCCGGTGAACCTCTCCCTCGCGGGGTAGCCAGGACACCTGGGCCTCGTGGCCAGGTCAGAAGCCGTCCCCATCCTCCCATCCGTGGAATCCCCGCAGCACTTCTTCCTGGGGTCCCTGGGGGAAGACTGACTTCCTGCCTGTGTGACCTGGAGCTCTGAGCTTCAGTTTTCTCACTTGGAGAGTAACATATGCAGAGTTTACCCTACAGGGTTGTTAGAAGGCTGAAGTGAGATAATTCACGTGCTGGTGTAGACTTTGTGGAAATGTGAGGTGGGGAGAGGAGGTGGGGCTGTTTTGAGGAAGGAGACAAGTTATTGGAGCCGCAAAAATAGGTTTGCTTATGCCCTTCTAACATCGCCTTCCCTTTCCTGTTGCTGAAAGTTTTCCTTGGGCAGCAAGATCAATGTGAAGGTGGGAGGAAACAGCAAAGGAACCCTGAAGGTGAGGGCCCGGGAAGGGGCAGGGCCGGGCACTGGCGGAGGAGACGGGTGTGCAGTGAGAGGCCTGTGGGCAGAGGCGCACGGTCCGGGGAAGGAGGCAGACACCTCAGGGTTGGCGTCCCGTGCTTCCGTCCTGGGTGTTTTTCCCCTGCTTGCTCTCCCCATCTCTGGGTACCTGTTGTTTCCTTTACCTGCCTCAGTGCTGATGGCCCCGGATCCCACTCTTCAGCCCAGGCCTCTTCCCTCGACCACGGGCCCCACTCGTCCCACTCCCACAGCACCTCAGACGAGGCGTGTCCCAAAGCCCTTCTTCACTGTGTGTCTCTTGTCAGGCTGATGGGAACCCCTGCCAGCCAGGAGCCCGGCCACTACTCCAGAGGCCGTGTTAGTGGCCCCTCTCCCAAGCCTGTCCTTATGTCCCTAGTGACTCCTCCTCTGCTCCCCTGCTGCCTGTGGCCCTTGCTGCTTGCATCCGAGATTCTGTGCTAAGACGACCTTCTCCCTACCTGGAACTTCTCTTTAACTCCCCTGTCTGATCCACTGTCCACACGGCAGTGACACTGACCTTCCAAAAGCCCCAGCCAGATCAGCCTTGGGGAAAAGTCACACCCCCTGCTCATGGCTCACTGGCTGGGCCTCTGCCCACCTCTCGGGCCAGACAGATCCTGCCTACACAGATCCCCGTGCCTTTCCCGTCCTTCCCTGCTTCTTGGCCCGCAGGACAAACTCTTTCTCCCCCTTCAAGCCTTGGCCAGAAGCCTTTCCTGAGCTTTTCAGTCCAGCCTCTTCCCAGCACAGCCTGGAGTGTTGGCCTCTGGGGGCAGGGGCCTGCTTCTTTACCTTTCTGTCTCACCCGGCGCCTGTGGCAAATCTGGTGCCACTCGTGAGTGTGGCCTGTGCAGTGACGGGGATGAAAAGGGGCTGAAGGCCTCAAATCCCGTAGCCCGGGGAGACGCCCTTAGGTATGGCACCAGAGAGGTCTGTGGCCTCAAATGTCCTGCGTCCTCTCCCTGCCCCTTGCTGAGCCAGGTCCTTCGTATCTACAATGTCCTGGACATGAAGAACACGACCTGCCAGGACCTGCAGATAGAAGTGACAGTCAAAGGCCACGTCGAGTACACGAGTGAGGAACACAGGAGGAGTTAGGGCACGGGTCCTCTGTTCTGCCTCCTCAGTCCCAGGGAGCCCCAGCGCTTTCTGCCCCCCACACTACCCAGGGTCCACTGTCCCACAGGAGGCACCTATGCACAGCTCTCCCGAACTCCAGGTGCCCCGCAGTGCTCACCCGGTGTTGTAGTAGTCGTACAGGCTGCGCTGGCGGCTGCACCAGCCCACGGGAACTTCCTGCCACAGCCTCAAAGCCCACCACTCCGGGAGGTGGACCTGGGCCAGGTGGGAGGAAGATGAACCCACTCCTGGGCCCTGCAGCCCCCTATACTGATTTCCTTGGCCTGTTTTTGTTTGGTTCCTGTTGGCCTTCTCTAGTGTCCTTTCACATTCTGTTACCCTCCTACTCAGAGAACTCTCCAAGCTGCTCCGCAAGGTCTCTGGTGAAGCTTCACTTCCCAGAGGGTGACCTTGCGCCAGTCTTCACTGCCCCAGGCCTCAGCAGAGTCTTGCATCATGGACATGTTCTTCTGTTGAGACTGTCCCTAAGCTAAGGGTTAGCTTCTGGAACACCCTTGGTTCTGAGCTGGTCATTTCTTACGTTCCCTCCTTGGAACTTGCCTTCTCAGTGCTCCCCTGTTGGGGCCTCAACCACTCCATGCCTTCACTAAACCACTCCAGGCTGATGATTCCCAGCTGCACTTGCAGCTCATCTTGCATTAGGGTTTTGCAGGACCGTAAGTTCTCCAAGGCACTCTGGCCTGCCCCCAAACCCACTCACCCTCCTGACAGCCTCAACTTGTCATGGATACAACTGAGTCCTCCTTTATTTGCCATAACCTAACTGCAGGTTCTGTCATCTGCCTGACCCCCTGACTCATGGTCCCAGGGCCTGACCCCTCCTCATGCCCATGCGGGCCAGTCACACGTGCCGTGCCAGTGTTCTCCTGAGTGGGCTGCCGCGCGTCGGTCCTCTCTCTGGGAATCTTGCTGGCTTTTATTCCATGTGTTCCAGATGTGCTCAGCCAGGCTTCCAGACTGATGGGGCTGGGCCTCCATGACACACTCACGGGTTAGGGGTACTCCTGACGCGAAAACAGCTGGCTAATGAAGACACCACACTTTTCACATATTTCTCCAAGACGGTTACCAGTAAATGTTCAAAAAATCTTTTGAAGGTGGCTTCAAAATGTTGGTGGCTCTGGCTGTAAACCCGTAGCTTTGAAAGCCTAGGCCAGAGAATCGCTTGTGGCAGGAGTTCAATGTCTAGGCACCTGGGCGACAGAGTGAGACCCCTGGTTTTAATAACTAAATAAATAAAAAGTGTTCTTTGAAGAGCTTAAGAGGGTTGATAACTATTTTAGTCAAAAATAAGGCGTGAAAGACAAATACACAACTGTATCTATGGCCACCATCCTTTGAAAAGAAAATACACTTAATATTAAAAAAAAAATAGCTAGGCAATTCCAAAAAATACAAACGGCAGCCCCTCAACTCGATTATTTACTAAACGGCATTTACGTAAGCATCGTCTCAACGCCCGAAGGTTCCCCGCTACTGAGCAACGGCCCTGCACCTGCAGTCTGCCCTTACTCTGCTGGTTCACGTGTCAACTTCTCCTTCTCGGATTGACATCAAGTCCCAAAGCAGCTCGTGCGGCTGGACCACAGCTGTCTCCTGAGAAACTCTAACGCACACTCAGTACACCTATGCCTATTGGTCCCTTCTGCGCCTCCCCCACTACCGAGTCATCGCAGGAACGCTGCCCCTCCATGGTCTCAACGTGACTCACATAACTGGTCAGAGAGGGAGGTCAGCTGTGGAAAAGGGGAGGGTCACAGGTCACAGTGTGGGGTCAGCACCGGGGCAGAGAGGGGTTGCCCCTGGGGTCTGACCACACCTTTCTCTAGTCAACACGCAGGGCGTGGAATCCACTCAGGAGTGTGATGTCGGATGGCCTTGCAGACACCCACCTTGCCGGTTCCGCCTGTGGAGGGTGTGACTGTGTCCAGGTTCTGCCTGCGCGGGGTGAGCCCAGCCAGCTGCGGTCTGCCCTCCTCCCTGGCCAAGGGCAGTTCGTCCCGGGCCACCAGATGCACAGGTGTAGTGCACCGCTGGACATCCTGACCCCTCAACCTTGGGCGCCTCCCTCCTGCGGCGGTTCTTCCGACCCTCAAAACCAGCTGCAGGGGTGTCACAGCTGCAGAGGACACCTGGGTCTCCCTGGCTGGAAACTCATGTACCATAGGTCCTCATAGTCCTCGGTTTGCTGTCCACTGCACAGGGAAGCATTGTGAGGAGGCTGGGATGGCCCACCTGGCTCCCTGCACAGCCCCTGCCGCGAGGCCTCCCCAACCCCCAACC